AGAGTGGGCCATTACCTCAGCAGCCCATCCTCCTGAGGAGAGCTGATGCAGACATACATGCAGAGAAGGAAGTCAAGCCAAGAGGGTGGTTGAGGAGGGTGCTGATGTGACTTCAAATAGGGGATGGCTCCAGTCACCAGCCGCTGGGAGAGAAGCCAAGAGCATATCCATACTCAGCACCTGCAGAGGGAGCCCCTGATTTCAGACTTGCAGCCTCCAGCAAGGTGAGAGAGATAATGTTGTTTTAGCCCTCCTAGCTTGTGCTCATTTGTTACAGGGGCTTCAGAACATTAACAGCTGTCCATGAGCACTTTATACTTCAGAAAGTAGTTGACTTCTGTCTCCCTAGTGATGGGCTCACACTGTCCCACAATCAAAAGAGCTTCTCCTCCTTCTTCACTTGCCTTACCTATGTCACTCCTCCAGGAATCACCAGGAAGCTGCATCCCACCTCACCCTACAGAGCAGTCCAGGCTCCCTCCCTGTGCATGTGTCTATGGAGCATCAGCTACACGGTCTTAATGTTTCTGGTTTATACAGCTGACTTAGGGCTAGGGAGATAGCTCAGCAGCCTAAGTGCCTACCTGGTAATTGCAAAAGCCTTGAGTTTGATCCCCAGTACAGAAAGAGAGAGAAAGAGAGAGAGAGAGAGAGAGAGAGAGAGAGAGAGAGAGAGAGAGAGAGAGAGAGATCCTGATTGGTAGGGGGAGCACATGTACCCCAGCACTGGGCTGAATCTTACTGGCCTGGAGAGATGAACTGAAGCTATATTGCAGTATCTTGTCTTTCCAGCCATGTCCCTGCCACCTGCCAGCTGGTTGACCAGACTCAAGTTGCTGTATCTGTATTTCACTCATCTTCCTGCAAAGTGTGGGTAGTGTCCATTCCTGCCTTAAGTGGTGGTTGTAAGGCTGACCTATATCAATGTACATAAGATGTTTGCAGGATCCAAGGGAGGTGCCAATGGCAGCCAGCTACTCTTACATCTTTGCACAGCACAACAGAGTTTTCTAGATCTGGACCCAGCCATGACTTCAATGCCCAAGATACACTTAGAAATATGTGGGGGAAAAGGGCTAGGATTTATAGGAGTGGGGTCTTAGTCTTAGGGCTACCAATTTGAACAAATCAGTGCACTGCTTTGGTCCTTCTTTCCACTCTGTGATAAAGTGTATAGATGGGACTGTTTTTCTCCATCCTGGAATCCAAGATGGCTAGGGGTCTGTGAAAGTAACACCTGGGCTCTCAAGTGATGCTACATGTTTCAGACCTGCATATAAATATTAGGTGCCACCCAAATGTCTAATTACTCCACTTGTAGAAGGAATTATATTAACCCAATGGAAAAAATACCATGTACCTAATAACAACTGCCAATTTTGAGTCACAGTTAATTATATCTTTCCAGGAAAAAAAAAAAACAGTAAAATCAAATCACCTTTTTTTTACTTGAACATGCTATTTCCCCCAAAAAATGACTTTGTCAAAGCAAGTGATGCTCAGAGAAGATAATAAAAGGGGTCAGTAATGAAAGCATGAATTTCAGTGGACTAAATGGTCTTTGAAATCCTTCAGGGCTCGAATGCTCCTGGGATTACTGAAAATTTCTCTAAGCCAATCAACTATAACAACTTGATTCATATTTTATTTTACTCTGTGACCTCATGAGGAACATGTCCTGCTGAGAATTCCAGGGGAGGGTAGAAGATCCAGATGATGATTCCAAACAGTAAGGTGTGCAGCAGGGGAATTTTAAAATCTGGAAGTGCTATAATAAGAGAAGAAAATGAATTGAAGTTTTTTTTAAATGACAATAACAGTAGAGCCAATAAAAAAGGTCAAAGAAGCCAAAGTAGAGGTTGCAACAATAAGCCACAGCTATAATGATAAGCAGCTGGCTTCTATTTTAAGTGACTTTCAAGCTGTATAACCCCAGAGGGCTGGGAATACAGAAGAAGGCAGGGAGGGCAGATGACAGGCTCAAGGAACAAGCTTACTCTGCTGCCACAAGCCACTCCTGCGTGGGTGCCCAGGACAGATGTGCAAGCTCTTCTTAAGCAGAGAATGCTCAGGTGCAAATCAGGCACAGCCCTTGGAAGCAGAGACAATGAGCAGGAACAGTCAAGTGAGTAGAACAAAATGTTGTATCCTTCAGAGAATGCAAGGCATTGATGGGGAGGGCACCTGCCATAAGATGCATAAAGTGGAAAACACAACCGAAAAAAATGGGTGACCTCTGGTGAACCTCATGAGAGACCTGTATGTTAGCTACTGTTACTCCCATTTCACAGCCCTGTGGAGATAAAGTGAGACCACCCAATGAAAACAAGCACAGGCCACATATTTCCAGCTTGTGTTACCAACGAGTCAGCCACCATCAAACGCATTTAGGAGAGCCACAGAAACAAGCAGAGTGGAGCAGCTTTACAGTAGAAGACAGGGAGACTTCAGGAGTTCCCTGATTTCAAGCTGTTGGCAGAGGGGAGAGGCAGCACTTTAGCCAGAGCAGATCATCCTGTTACTGTTTAGGTGGGCATACTTGGCTTTCTCTGCTTGGCCCTAAGTTAAAAGCAGAGACAAAAATTAGTCTTGATGTTATTAATCAGGTGCTCTTCCATTTGCATTTTCAGACTTTCAGTCCTTTGGTGTAAATCTAAACAAAACAAAGCTTGTTCAGGTCATCACTTACATACTCCTCAGAGTCCCTGAAAAGGCCTGGAGGGACTGGGCTGCTTCGGTACACCGGAATGCATAAGAAAAACTATGCATTCACCTCTGAGTTCTACACATAATGTAATAAAAGCATCAATTACACTTTCAAAAATTAAGTTTATCTTGTTGGGTTTTTTTTAATGATTTACATTTATTCTATGATTACCCGGTTGTAGAAAAATGATTCAATAAAGAAATCATCGATAGATAAGTTTTCAAACTCCGGGATACATCAGAAGAAAAGATTTCCAAAGGGTCTTTGTGACATAGTGCTTGTAAATACCTCTTGCTGTCAAACCCAAACATTTTCCCTCCTCACGCTGTGCCCAGGGTTACTGAAGGCACAGAGCCTCAATGGCTGGATTATGGTTCTGTCCAAGGTGGCATAGGCTTGTTCAAGCATCTGCAAATCTAGGTCCAGCTAGAAGCCTTGTGCTCCCCTGTCTAGAGCTCACACGAGGAGAGGAGATCAGATCTAAGTGCAACTTTCAGGACTAAAATGGGAGGCGACAGGAAACAATCAGGGTCCAAACAACTAGTTTTTCTTAGTAGCTGTGAAACCCACTGTTTTTAGCCATTACAAGTCACTAAATGGCTTTTGAATGACAGGATGCAGGCACTATCTCTGAATAATATCCAAGGACATAAAAACTAACTCTGCTAGACCTCCTAATAGAATGTCATCTAATGGAGGGCATGATTCTAGGGTAGCTACAGGATTCTGGGGTGACATAAAAGCCTGTTTCAGCTAACCCCCCTGTGGCTTAACGAATTTTTGATAGAAATGCACCTAAGAAATTGCTCTTTCCCCTCATGCTTGCTTCCCTCCTCCATCTGATAAAATCCATTCACATTCAACAACCCTGATAAAGGCTAGCTCTTCAGTAACACCTTCTCTGACTGGACACGTTGGAATGATTTGCTTGCCTTTTGTCTCCATGGTTCTTTGTGCAGACTCTTTAATAAACATGAATATGGTGGAAATCATGGCTATTTTTAACGCAATGTTAATTTCCTTTGCTGTGAGTTTCTTTCAGGTAAGTGTGTGTCACCTATTTAGAGCTCCCATGGCACTCCTATCTAGAGTGCCATAGATAGATAGATAGATAGATAGATAGATAGATAGATAGATAGATAGATAGATGCATAGATAGATATGGTATATCTCAGTTATTCCGGCTAATAGTCATAAGAGCCTCAAGGAAAAAGTATGATATAGCCTGATTGGGGAAATTCATGGTGTCTTTTGCCCCCATTGAGCTCTAACTGCTTCCTCTCCAGGCAATAAAGACAGCTTTGCAAGATTCCAGGTTCTGCTCTGCATGCACAGCCTAGTCTATGGTGCTCAGAGGTCCATCCAGGGTTCTGTAGAATTCCCAGTTCTGACACTCAAGACCTTTAGTCACAGATAGCTTTCTTGGTCCCCTTTCTTAGCTTCTCTCCCACAAAAAAATACCCAAATCTGTGTTATGTAAAGATTCTCCAATGATGGTGTATTAATTTTTAATAGAAGAAGAAGATAGCTATCTAGAAAACAGAACCTTGAGCACCATAGATAGCAAGGGGTATCAATGCAGGGCCTGCAGTCTCCTGCAAACTCAGAGGGTGAGGAACTTCTGTGTCTAACCTGCTGAGCTCCTCATGAGGGACCCAGGTACCTGGGACATATGAACATTCCTCTCACTGTGAAAAGTCACCCATGGTGGGGCAAGAAATATTCATCTCATCAGTCTTGGCCTTAGCCCAGCTGAAACAAACTCCTTTGCTCTGACTTGACACCCTCAAAGCAACTTTCCAAATGTCATCTGTCTTCCCAAGTAAATGTTCCCTCAGGGAGAAAGAGTACTGATCAAAAAGCCTGAGTATTTTTATTTGCAAGATATGTACAGTCTTCATTATAAATTAACAAACTGACATTCTGTTCTGCCCAGCAAGGGAAAAATGAAATATGTAAAAAGCAAAGCCTCTCTTGTGTGACAGGCTGGCTCCTGAGGTCTTGTCTTCCCGACACCCTGTCCTTTGATGGCCCTTGTTCCCTGCCACCAGCTGTGCCCTTTCCCAGCACCACTGCACAAAGTCTGCCTGTGTGGTCCCCTGCCACGAATCGAAACTCACCTAGAGAATTCCAGCTGGAAAGCACAAACAACAAACAAGCAGCCTTGCTTATCCACAGTGCTTTCTGTGAACTTCGTAAGAACTATCTGTTCTTAACTTTACTCTTCATTTGAAGCTCTAACTCCCAGGCCCGCAGACCCCAGGAACCCCTCTGTCCTGGGGTGGATACTCACGTTTTCTGCCCGCAGTCTCTTGGCGGGACACCCCCCGTCCCTGGGGTGAAGCATGTAATACAGTCGGACCTTGCTTGCATGTTTTCGACTCTGAGGAGGAAAAGCAGAAAGATACACTGTGACAGTGAAGGCATTTGAGAAAGAAAAAGAGAATGAAAAGGGGCCCATGGCCACAAATACAAAATAGGGCTTTCAGGAAAACTGTCTTGTGCTCCTATGGGTTGTGCAAGATACAGTTTCAGAAGGATGAAATGACTTACTTAAGATCATAAGGCCAAATTCATTTCAGGAAAAGTAAATCAGTAATTAAAAAAAGGTAAAGATACTAAGATGTCTAGCCTAGCATGGATAATGTATTTAATTGTCCTATAAAGTAAATCAGGTAAGCAGAGGAAATGACACAAAGGATGGACTGGGCTAAACAGGCAATGCATTAGGCTTGGTGGTACACAACTGTAATTCCAGATCCTCAGGAGGCTGAGGCAGAAAGATGGCACATTCAAAGCCAGCATGGGCAACTTAGCGAGACCTTGTCTTGAAATAAAATTTACCAAAGACCAGGGATGCAGCTCAGTGGTAGAGCATTGCCTAGAACAAGGCCCTGGTTTCCATGCTTAGTACTACAAAATAGAGAGAGAAAAGGAGACTGGGAGGAAGGGATGTAAAAAGGAGAGGAGGGCAGGGGAGGGGAGGAGAAGGAAGGGGAGAGGAGGAGAGGAGAGGAGAG